CAAAGTGAAATAAGCAGGACCAGGAAAACACTGTAGATAGTATCAGCAACATTGTGTGATGATCAATCATCAATGACTCAGCTCTTCTCAGCAACACAATGATCCAAGACAAGTACAAAGGACTCACAAAGGAAAATCCTTTGCATATCCAGAAAAAGAACTGATGGACTCTGAATGCAGATTGAAGCATTTGTTTTCACTGACTTTATTCTTACTTGTTTTTTTTTCCTTTTGATTTGTCCAGTCAATCCACGACTGTGACTAATATGGAAATGTTTTGCATGATAGCACATTTATAACCTGTGAAAAAACCCCAAACAAACTACTATTAAAACATTCCCTCCAAAACAAAGTAAAACAAAAACAAAAACAAAAATAAGTGTTATGTAGAGAATTAACAAAAATATTGCTCAAGAGCCATTCTGTAATAGCTAAAAGGTACATGGTGTCTGACAAATATCAGGCCCTTAGTAAATACTTGCTGATTGATTGGTTGTTGGATGAATTGTAAAGATATGAATAATTTTCAAAAGAAGAATCTTTAATAACAAGAGAAACAACAAGAGAATAAACATCAGAAGAACATTGAAATCTTACCTCATGTCCAGAAAAGTTTCCAGGATGACAAAGAACAGTTGTAGAAAGATAGCCAAGTTGACATAATATTAGATCTGTGAATTGGTCCAACTGTTTTAGAAGGTAATTTGAAATTATGCTAAGAAATTACCGGGTGGCTGGGTCGCACAGTGGATAGAGTGCCAGGCCTGGAATCAAGAAGGCTCCTTTTCCTGAGTTTGCATCTGGCTTTAGAAACTAGGTATGTGACCTTGGGCAAGTCACTTAAACCTGTTTGCCTCAGTTTCTTCATCTGTAAAATAATCTGGAAAAGGAAATGTCAAACCATTCCAGGATCTTTCCTGAGAAAACCTCAAATGGGGTCATGGAGAGTTGGACACAATAGAAAAATGACTGAACTGAAATAGATTATTAAAATATCTACCCTTTGACCCAGACATTCCACTATTATACAGACATACACAAAAATAAATCCAAAGACAGAAAAGTCCACATGCAATGAAATTTTTATATTAGCACTTTTCTGTCATAAAAAAAGAACTACAAATAGAGTAGTTACCTGGTGAGTTGACAATGACTAAAGAGTTATGACATGGAAATGAAAGGGACAACCACCAAAAAATGAAACTGAATTGTGTCAACTAAGGTTATACCAGAAGAAGAGATAAGAAAATACAGATCCATCTCTTCTTTGTAGAAGTATAATAACAATAATAATAACTAAATTATCTTAGTAGAAGATGTGAGAAAATGCTGCTTCCTCTCTTCTTTGCAGAGCTGGGATGTGCACCATTATATGTGCCACCAAACTCCATTCATACATTGGTTAGTTGTATTCTCCTGCTTTTTTCTCCACTCCATTTTCCTTTTCATTCTTTGTTAATGGTATCTAAGATGGGTCTCTGCATAGGGAAGGTAGAAGAAATACATTTGGAAATGAAAGTGATAATTAAAACAATATACTTTTAAATAGTTTCAGGAATGCTAGAGCCTAAAACAAAATGATGCTTTAAAAAGACTATGAAACTAAGAAAAATGATAAGTGCTTTTTAAAAAGTCATGTAAATAATGAAGAATAGCTAGACCCACTCTTTGGGACAGTATGGTAAACAACTTAGGGCAGAGAAGTCAGAATTACTCAACTCCTATTTGCTTCTGTTTTCATCAGCCAGGATAATAATAATCTTCATAGTGGGAAAGGTCGTATAAATAAGATTAACAGGGATTGAAAATAAAGATAAATGAGGAGAAGTAAGAGAGCAATTAACTACTCTAAATTAGTTCAAGCCACCTGGCCCAGATAAATTATATCCCAGTGTGCTAAAACAACTTGTAGATATGGTAGATGAAATACTGTTAGTGGGCTTTAGGAATCATGGAAAATTTTAGAGGTGGGGAAGTAGTGGAAGCAGGCTAATATACTGGTTCTTAAAAAGTTAATCAATACTTACAACTGTAGGCTAATTAGCTTGAATTTGATTCTAGGTAAAATTCTAGGAAGAATTGTTAAAATGATTATTTGCTAGGGCTTAGAAATGATGATCACTATGAGCTTTATGGTTTAATTATGAACAAGTCATATAGCTTGCTGGTTAGTCTGCTTACCACAAGTCTTTCCCATTCCAGATCATTTTCCACTCAGCTTTCAAATTAATCTTCCAAAAGCACAGGTCTGACCATGTCATTCCTCTGTTCAATAAATTCCAGTGGCTCCATATCACCTACAGAATCAAATATAAAATTATCTGGAATTCACCTCTACTCATCTCTGCCTTCTGTCTTCCCTGGTTTCTTTTAAGTCTCAGCTAAAATCTCACCACCTAAAGGAAGCCTCTTCTGAACCCCCTTAATTCTAGTGCCTTCCCTTTGTTGATTATTTCCAATTTATCCTATATTTAGCTATCTATGTATAGCTCCAGTATATAACTCTTTGCTTGCTGTTTCCCATGCACTTCTGGAGAGCGGGACTATTTTTAAACTCTTTTATCTCCAGTGTTTATCACAGTCCTGACAGATAGTAGACACTTAATAAATGTTTATTGACTGAATGACTGTTCTCATTTAATTTTTGGATATTATTTGGATATTAGTAGTAAACATGTAAATGCAAGAAATTTCGTAGACATATACCTAGATCTCAGTTAGATATCTGATAAAGCTTCTCATACAGGAGAATGTTGCAATTGCACAGTAGAATTAAATGTGATTAGGAAATTTTTGACTCTACTTCCTGCTAATCACAAGATCCCAGAATTTCAGTAATGGAATGGATGCCAGTGACCATCAAATCTCATCCTAACCAGAATAAGCATAGTAGGTATTACTCTAGGCCCTATAGATGATTTTTTTACTGGTACATTTAAAGAGGCTGTTGAATTTCAGAAGTTTGGAGCATCCTCACAACAAAGCATGTAAAATCAGATGTCCCACTAAAGAATCAAACTGAATTTAATTTAATTTTTTTTTTTAAACAACATATTATTTCGTTAGTGTAGGGAACTCTCAGTGAGTAAACTCCCGCTACCAATGAAGATTGTCAGTGGTTTTTTAGCTTTTAGACTCAGGGAATTGCCTCTGTCACTGAGAGGTTAAGTGACTTGTCCAAGGTCACACAGCCAGTACTCAGCAGCATGAGGACTTGAACCTAGGCCTCCCTGACTCTGAAGTTGCCTTTGTATCCACTACACCATACTATTTCTCTTAATGAACTTTCTAAGTGTAATATTTTAAATAGAAAAAAATTAGGCAGTAGAAATAATAAAGGTATAAGACTATTACAGTAGTCTCCTGAAAAGAATGTATACTCAGTTCATGCATGCTTCATAGTTGGTATGTAGGATTGTTTTTTCTAGATGATCAATTTTACTATGAGAATTGATGAGTCTGTTATATGATTGGGTTGTGTTACCTGCATAATATTTTTATTGTCTTCCCACTTTTCCCCTCAGGATCCTTTCCTATTGTTCTACAATTCTGGCTTACAACATGTATGCTATGCTTATTACTTTAAATGTAGGAACAATATAGCTCATTAGCATTTTCCTTGAAGCTTGATTGTGGTTGAGATTAAGGAATACTAAAATGCTGTGTCTCATGTAATTACACCAGCTGTATTAAAACACACAAAAAAAATCTTTGATTTTCTTTAGTTTCAAGTAACAGCTCTTATTATTTTGCAACTTGATGGCAGTGATTAGAATGCTGTGTTATAAGTAAGGAAGAACTGGGTTCAAATGCTGCTCCTACCACTCATTGACTATGTAAACCTGGGCAAATTAATTACTTTTACGTTGTTTAGTAATTTTCATTTGTGTCCAACTCTTCCTGACCCTTTTTTGGGTTTTATTGGGAAAGATGTTGGAGTGATTTGCCTTTTCCTTTTCCAGTTCAATTTGCAGATGAGGAAACTGAGTCAAACAGGGTTAAGTGACTTTCCCAGGGTCACACATCTAGTAAGTATCTGAGGTAGGATTTGAACTCAGGTCTTCCTGACTCCAGACCCAGCACTCTATCCACTGTGCCACCTAGGTGCCTTAAAATTACTTTTATAAGCATCAGTTAATTCCTTGGGGCTTAAGCTAAGTCATCCATGGACTGTGGTCTTTCTGGGTGGAAAGAGATTTAGACAGTGAGGAACTTATGATCCTTCCTCTACATTCATGCCTATTTCATGTTTTCCTTTAACTTTTTAGTATGCAATTTTATTTATGTGGTTCTGTGGTCTCATCAAATTGAATGTTCATTCCATCAATGTGGATTGCAAATCATTCATGTTTGCCTATAATATATAGTGATCATCTATGTGCTCCCATAAGTTTGCCACAGCAGTTCGCCTAATATTCTAGAGGCCTTCCTCAATTCCTCCTAACGTCAAAAGAATACCAGTGGAGTCCTCAAACACTCCACCTGTTATCTCTAGATTTCACTAAATGACTAGCCCTTTTTATTTTCCCTAACACATTTCCTTGATGAGACCCTTTATCCCAGTTCTTACTTGCAGGTTATTTCTTATATACATATATATGGCATGACTTGCTTACATCTCTTCTATTGCCCCCATATGAAACTCACTTATAATTTACTCATAGACATATAATACTGGTAGAATATTGGTATTCAAAAGTTGGGCCTTTGTTTCTACGTGTGTGTATACATACATACATATATGTGAAAACATGTACATCTATATAATTTTTATGGTATCTTCAGAGCATTATTTTTGATGTTACTATTGCTTTTGCTTCATTACATTTTTCTTGTAATTGTTTTTTGGCTTTTTATTTTTCAATCTATTCTTTTTTTATTGTATTGAAGTTCTTTGGGTTGCTCTCTTCATTGAAGTCCACCAGTATTTTTTCTAAATAAGTCACAACAAAGAAGTTGTAAAATTCTCTACTTCACATTTGAACTATTATTTTTTACAGCCCCATTCACAGGAGTCATGCAGAACGTCGCTTTGTATATAAGATGATGAAAACCATGCCTGATTTATCTTCTCAGTTGACACGTGGCGACTTCAAGGCGCTCAGTCAAAATATCACTTCTGAAACCTGGGTGAAAGGCACCACAGGTAATGGCATAACATGTGGCGAAATACTTTTTTTCAGTTTGACTTCTATAAAGTTACAATGCTTCGGTATTTCGAGTTGCTTAATGTCCAAAGAGTATCCTACTCTTATTCACATGTTAGGTTTAATTAAAGGTGTTAATTGGGTAAGGCAATCTGTTCCTATTTTCAGCACTTGTCTTTGCCAATATGAATTTAATGAACAATATACTTTACAACCACTTGGTGTCAGCTTGTATAACTAATAGGTAAGAGAGCTGGGAGCTAGAGAGGTTGTTTCACTGGCCTAGGGTTAAATGTTCAGAGTGCAGGATCTCCTATTCGTGGACTCAATCCACTGGTTCCCTTTGTCAAGGGCATAATTTAATGACATTGGTTTCTTTTTTTCCGCTTGGGTAAATAAAAAATAAAGCACCCAAAATGTCCCTTGCACCTATTAAATATCTACTTCATATAAAAAAATTACTTATTCATTTTTAGAAATTTTTACCTTTTTGTATATCTCCGTCCTCCTAAAAACTAAATCCTTATTTGGTATTTTTCTTCCTTCATCTTCTATCCCTAAATCCACTTTCATAATTAGGATTGTATAATCAGATTTAGAGCTAAAATGGACTTTGGAGTTCATCTACAGCAGGCCCCTCAATTTACAGATGAGGAAACTGAGGATGAGACAGGTAAATGACGTTCCTGAGTTCACATAACTAACAAGTAAAAGAGCCAGGTTTAGAACCCATTTCCCTTGACTCCATCTTGTATTTTCTACCTCACTACAATTAATTCCGTTTGACCTGAGCACAAGCAATAAACACATAATCATAAATATGTTTAGGGAAAAATAAGAAAAAATAAACCAGTCAATAAAAGAAATATTTATAGTTAACATTATTTTGTTATCAACATGAGTAGGTTTCAAAATTTGATGAATTATACCTGCCATTTAATGAATATTTAGAAGGAAAAATACTTTTCCACCTTTATATGATGTCAGAGCAACTTATACAATAAGCATTACAACTCTGATTTATATGTAGAGATAATAAAAATGATCAAATTGGCATAGTTTGAATACCTATAGCTTTTGCTTAAATCTGTATAAATTTAATAAAATTATTAAGCAATAAAAAAATCCAAATTTGGATTTCTCAGGAACATGCATTCAGACATTCAAACAATATTAACTATCATCATCACTCAGGAGCCTCAAGGCTTATACCTGGCTATGTTGAACTATTCCCCTCCAGCTTCTCCAGTTTCTCTGCACCTTAGTCTCAGAGTTTCTTTAGGATCAACTTTCATATCAAAGCAGTAAACCCATTAAGTATTTAACCTTTTTTCAAGTTTCTTTCTTTATTCAATTGAAAGGACAACAAGAAGCCTCCCTAAATATTCATATCACCCCCTTTTCTTTATTCCTGTTTGAAGCTTCCCTTGCTCAACCAGCCTTCCTAAGAGCTGCCTTTTTTTTTAATATCACTTTTTCTTTCAATTTGTTACGCATATTTATTTTATTTATTTATTTTTTAGGCAATGGAGTTAAGTGAGTTGCCCAGGGTCACACAGCTAGTAAGTGTCAAGTGTTTGTTCTGAGGCCAGATTTGAACTCGGGTCCTCCCGACTCCAGGGCCAGTGCTCTATCCACTGCACCACCTAGTTGTCCCTAAGAGCTATCTTTCCACCTGCTATTGAGGCAGTTAGTGTCTCTAGTGCAATTCTAAACAGCTGTGTGTTCCTTAGACAATTTTCTGGCCATAGGTTTTAGACTCATTCTTTTCAAGAAACTTTATAAGTTCTTTTATTTCTCAGCACTTCTGTTTCAGTGTGATCAAATAAGTCTAACAGAATTCTCCTGGAGTAGTTAAGGCATGTAATGAAAATGGGAAACCCTGCATCAGCTGCATTAAAATATTTCCCTAAGGACACAAAGACTAGAAGGTCTAGAGCCAAAACTCATTTTCACTGTAAAAAGACAGTGGATAGAATTAGGGAACCCCCTAATCAACATCTGGAATGAGGTTCCTTGACCCACAATGCAGTTCAATTTAAAAAATATTTATTAAGCACCTACTACATGCAAATCACTGAGCTGATGGGATACAGAGATGTAAATAGACAACCAATGCTAATGAGAAGCATGGTGATGAACACCCCCAAAAAAGTTTGTGGGTAATTAATAACAATTTTTTTAATTAGACTAGCTAAAAATCAATAAATTGATTTTCCATTGTTTCCCTTGGAAAACCAAAGACAAAAACATGGAAAGCCGGAAAGCCTTAAATTTCTTTTTAAAGAAAATGCTCCTGACGAGTGGAAATCCACCCCAATTGGTGGACATTTAATGAAGAGGTAGTCTAGAAGTCTTCAGCTCTTTCTGCTGAGAATCAGACTCAGCTGCTTCTAGCAATCTAATGGGGGAATCCATCTCCATCCAGACCACTTTAGTTAGTTTTCTCCTCCATGAGCTCAATCACCCTAAATTCTAATGGAGGGGTACAAGAACAAGAGCTGTTCTCCTTGGGGAAAGAATTTGCCCAGACTGGATTCTGTTTACACTCTAAACAGAAGTAAGATGTCCTAGTTGAATGAAGTCAGGCCCAAGATGGAAAAGCATGTTCCCTGAGGTTAAGGGCAATCTCATCAATCAGTCCTGTCTTTCAGAGACTGAATTTTTATGTGAGGAAATATCAGGAGAAAAGCTTGGATCCCAATTTAATAATTGGTTATTAATATAATAGCAAAATGATTCCCCTCACATAAATGTAGTAAGCTAAGGCTTTTTTCCCCCCTCTAAGCAAAGAGATAGTTTCCTATAAGCCACTCTAAACTTGTACAATACTGAATTACCAAGGAAATACTCCTTTTTGATGCACATCATCAGAGAGCCATCATGAAGATGATGTATAATGTTAAGTGTCATTCTTCTTGTGATGGATAACCCAAAGTGTCATTGCTCAGATGATGGATAATAGAAACCAACCACAGCTTTTATGATCTATTCTAGTGTTGGAACAGCTCTGCTATAAAATACGTGATTAGAGTAAGTCTCCCTCTGTTATCTGTCAACACGCTAGTAGTTCTGAGTGTTATATATCCTGACTGTGGTGCTGACCTGACAATATATAATGTAAATTTAAATCTTTTAACTGATATAGGAAACTCTATTTTATGAAAGTGGCAAAAATGAGAGGATTAAGAAAAATTCATTTTATAAAGAGAAAGAGAAAGGTGTAACTGTTTTAAAACTATGGAGTACTAATCCTTTTATTTAGGTCTAAAATAGACAGGAGAAATTCATTTTGCTATGCACATTTATAATGTCACACAATTCACCCTTTCCAGATAATATCTATTCATCCAATAAACATTCATTATAAATGCCCATTATTTGAAAGAAAGAATACTGGGATATATATGCATATATCGTATGTGATATCTAGGTACATCTTTTTCTATCTATATTTAGAGAGACATATGAAAAGTTCAAGAGATAATTTCTGGGTAATTAATCACTTTATTAATTATGGCTAGTGAATAATTAATGAAAGGATGGTCATTTGGCTTTCTCTCACAAACCAAAAGACCCCACATGGAGGCCTCTTGATACTTATATGTCCTTGGAAGAGTAGGTGTGCCTAACAGGTGGGCATAAACTCTGATTGGCTAACACTTAGTGGGAGAATGATATTATAATGAGAGGTGGACCTATTCTAATGAGATGCTGGATGCGTGACTCTGATCATGTTACCCATCACCAAAAAGTGACTCATCTCAAGCCAGCTACTCTGCCTGCCCAGAGTGGATGTGAGTTGGTCATCATGAAATACAATGCATAGACAAGCAGACTGAAGTATACTGTTTTACAGGTATAGAATTTACAAATGGGAATAAAATCACAGTATCTCTATTGCTATTCTTGCAGCCTCTTTCAAGACTGAAGTTACCTACAACCATATGGGCTTGCTCTGAATCCAACCGGGTTAGGAAAGTCATGGTTTAGTTTTTTTGGTCACTGATCTATTTCCTCTGGTTATAGGAATTAGTTAAGAGGGTTTATCCCATAAATCACTTTATTGTTTTCTTTTCCTATTTTGAGACAATCCGGATTAAGTCACTTGGCCAGGGTCACACAGCCCGTGTCTGAAACTGGATGTGAAATCAGGTCCTTCTGACTTAAGGACAGGTGTTCTATCCACTGACATTCTCTGAGGGGCTTAGTCACTTGGGTCATTACTCAGCTCTTCTGTGCAATGTTAAAGAAGCAGCTTTAAAGAAAGCCCCTGGGGTAAAGGAGGGCCCTAAGTGTTTTCCCCACTCCCAGCTGCCTTGCTCTGTTACATTCTACCATTCCTGCCCCCCCTCCTGAAAAAAAAAAGGCTCTTTAATGTAGTAAAGAGTAGTTCTTAACCTGGGGTCTGTGTACTTAAAAAGAAAAGCATTTCAATATAATTGTTTTCCTCTGTAATACTATGTATTATAGAGGTTACTTGGTCACCAAATAGGACTGATCCTTTTCTATACTGATTATCATCTGTACCCTTCCTTCCTTCCTTTCTACCTTTCCTTCCTTCTTTGCTCCCTTCCTTCCCCTGTATGTATTCTATTTTATCTACTGACCAAGAACTGTATAACCCTCTCTTTATTTTCCCAATTCTCAACTGTCTCTTTGGCTTTATGGGTGGGGCTGAACCAAAACACATTGTTCCAGCTTTTCAGATATAGCATAAATATTTAATTTTTATTACACATGCGCGCGCGCGCACACACACACACACACACACACACACACACACACACACACACTGCAGCTTGATTTTTTTGTCTTTTCCATCTAATGGCCTATACTATTTCTCAGTAATGTGATATCTCAGAAATAAGTTCCAGAGTCATGAAAGTAGTGTGGTATGATAGAAAAAGCACCAGATGTAGGGAGTTGGAAAACCCTGGTTTTGGCTCTGGCCCTAACTAGCTTGGTCAAATCATTTGAACCATTTCAGCTTTAGTTATTGCATCTGTAAAATCTTTCAAGGTGTCTATTCTTTTTTACATATATACCATAGAGAGTAATTGTACTGCTCAAATAGGAAAATGTATGTTAAGTGCTTTGTAACCATAAGGCACTGTACAAATACATGATATGACCATGACTGTGTCTGTTATCATGATCATTACATATTGTTATATGAGAAGGGGAGAGCATGGAATTGGAATCAAAAATGTGCCCTGCATTAGCACTAAGAGATAAATTTTGCTTTTTGGTAATCACAAATTGTTTTCCTCAGATTCTTTTTGAATATTCTCCTACCTCAGTCCAATCTATTTCTTCAAGATTCTTAGTACAAGGGCTGCCTCCTACAAGAAATCTTTCCATATTCACGTATTGTTTCCCTATCGTTTCCATATTGTTAGTGCTTGCTTCTGTCAGAAATTACTTTTATTTATTTTCTTTGTATTTTGTATTTATTTGTGCACATATAGAATATATAATATAAACTCCTTGAGAACTGTGATTATTTCATTTTTGTCTTTATGTCCCAGGTCCAAAAACAGTGCCAGTGTACATCACAAATTAATCATGTTATTACATGTCAGTATATTATAAATGACATGTTAATATATTATGTGATGTATTAGTGCTATATTAAACACATATATGAGAGAGGGAGGGGAATAAGCATTTATAGAGCACCTACTATGTGCCAGGCACTAGACTAAGCACTTTACAAATATTATTTCATTTGATCCTCACAACAACCTTACAAGGTAGGTGCTGCTATTACCCCCATTTTACAGTTGAGGAAACTGAGGCAGGGGTTAGGTGACTTCCCCAGGATCACAGATAGTGTCTGCTTCATTCCATGCCCAGTTCTCTACCTACTGTGTCACCTACTTTTCGTATGCGTGTGTGTGTGCATGCACATGTGTATATTTATACACACATATGACTGTAATCTTTCCAATAAAATATTAATTCATAGCTTTTTGTACATGCTATATGGTAATATAATCTGTAATTCCTTTTACACTAATAACATGCAGTAAGGTTTTTCTTTTCTTTTTTTTTTTTTACTTAAAGCATAAAATCCAGAAGCTTGTTTATTCAGTGCATAGTTTCAAAGCGTATGCAATTTTTTCAAACTTTTAATTATTTAAATAGAAAATCACTTAAATAGAAAATCACTTCTGTAATATATTATTCCAGATTATATATTAAGACACTTTTTAGTGGGTAAGGTAAACTTTGTTTGGAATAAGAAACAATTTTAGAGCTGGAAAGGTAGAAAAGAGTAAACTTAAAAATCATCTACTTCAAACCTTTCAGTTTACATATGAGGATGCTAAGTGCTAGAGGGGTTAACTAATTTTCCAAAGACCACAGATAATAGCAGAGCCACATCTAATTCTCTTTGCTCAATGGATCTTCCCTTTAAATTAAAAACAAACAAAAAATACAAACAAACCAAACTATAACCTTTAGACAGGCGCTGTTTATGTATTTTATACATTTTTGAAATGAAAGAAAAATTTCCTATCCGAAGTTCATACAATTTCACCTTTGCTCGATCATACAAAGAAGGTTCTCAGCCATAGTTGTCTCTGTGCATTTTGGTGGTCCAGACCTGGTACTGGAATGCAAAGAGACACTCACAGACCATATTGCCTTTAATAAACAAAATTTCCTTAACAATAGCATTTAGACTACTGCCCCCAACCCCATCAACCAGCCTCTTCATTTACCACGGGTTTGAGTCCTGTTAGAAGTCTGTGATGACTACAGAACAGTAGGGAATCCACCACGTATAAGTGGCCCCTATTCCACGTGGGCTCCTCTTTTTATACCTAACGCTACCGGGAAGCTACTTCAATACTTTAGACTTAGTCCCTGGGACTAATTAAGTCTCTAGGATGTTTTTCTTATGCCTGTAGAGAGAAGCTGAGCTGGTTGGTCTACATGGAGTAAATGTTGCTCTTATCACAGAGGGCTAGTATTATATAGAGATAAATTAAGCAAAAAACCTGTGTGGTAAAATTTGATTTTTTAAATTTTAATACAAAGTATAAATTGAAGGACTGAGAAAAGAACAATGACCAAAAATATTTTTGCTAACGTCCTGAAATTTTCACCATTGACTTTATTCCTTAAAGGCTTTCTTAAGTAGAGGAGCATTTTTCCTGCTTATTTGGCTTAGGGAGAGGGCAATGCTAAAGGAGCTAATATGGATTCTTTTATCTAATTGATCCATTGTCACTGAACTGAGAACAGAGTTAGGAAGGAATGGGAAGCTGCATTCCCTGAGAGACCATCTAGTCCAACTGATACTAGATTGAGAATCCACTTAATAACATAGTTCCCGGTGCTTACCTACCAAACTCTGTCTGTATCTCTGTGCCTGTATTAAACTTATACTTAGTTCCACAGTTTTAAGTAATTTCACCTGACATTTATTAAATATCTACTAGTTGCAGTGTTCTATACCATAATGCTAATTCACATTTGTAGAGTGACATAAGGTTGGCAAATTACTTTTTCTTACAAAAATCTTATAAGATAACTAGTGAAATAATTATCTCCATAAGGAGAATGAAAAAGGGGTTAAGTGACTTATCAAAGGTCACACAGCTAGTGAGTTTTAGAGCTAGGCTTTGAACTTATTCTCTGACTGCAAGGCTGGCGTTCTGTACCCTGTACCATGATTCTTCTCAAGCACTGGTAGTCAGCAGTGTTCTTGCCCTCAAGGAGTTTATAATCTAGTAGCAAGATAAGAAAAATCCATGTTTCTAATGGGAGTTAGAGAATGAGTCTTTGAACATACATAAAAAGGCAAAGGGAGGCATATGAGATATGCAAAGGGAAAGGTCATTTATTACTAACTCAGTGGGGAGGTTGGGAAAGTCTGGACTGAAAAGAAAGGTAGACTATTGGAGGGATTCTGTTACATGTATTGCGTATAGGTACAGACTCACAGAGGTAGAAGACAGCAGGATAAAGCCAGCTAACAGCTAGTGGTTCAGTTTGGGTAAACACTTCACTGTTCTCTTATAGTTTAATTGTTGGCACTTGGCACCAGTGTTCTAGACAATGGCCTCTGGTTCATTATTATAACCCTTTATGCTAAGCTGCCTTTCCTACACAGTGCCTGGCATATTGAAAGTGCTTAATAAATACTTTCTCAGTCTATCTCTTTATCTGCTAGAAAATTTTCTGTGTTGAAAGTTGAGATTAAATATTGGGAATGATTACTTTTGGATTTCAGTAAAATTCCAGCTTTACAATATCATGGGTTCCCAAAATTCTTGATCCTTTGCCAATAAGCCCATTTTGTTTCTACAAATACACATGAGCAGTCCTTCTCCAGAAAATGTCAATGAGGCTGTGAGTGCTTATTTGTGCCACTGATGCCTTTATGGTTTCAAGTGATTTTTGTGTGCCTACTTGAAAGAATGCCATTGATATTGCATAGAATAAAATAAATGAATTAAAATAAAAGAGAAATCATAGATGGCACTCACGTTCATAGGAGGTGGTCTGGGAAACGAAAGTTTAATATTCAATTTCTTTTTCTCTAATTTTCTTTCAGTAATTGCAAATGAAGGTTTTTATATCATATTGAAAGGTTCTGTCCAACCACGGAGCAAAGTATACAAAAAAATGATTGAGTTAGTGCCTGCAGATTTTTTAAGTGAGCCATCCTCAGAATATTTGTCTGAAGAAGAATTTTTCCAGGAGAATCCACTTGCAGAATATCATTCTTTTGTGTACCCACACTACATAATAGTAAGTACTTCACTCATTTATTGTTACGAAATAGTTTAAACTTGTCCTGATACACAACTCTAGATCTCCTTTGGAGAAATAATAATATTGAGAGAACTGTTATTAAACTTTTCCCCCCCTGAAACTACAGGTGCTATAATGATTACTGAATTTGGAATTTGGTTATAACATTTATATGTCTGATACTATCAATGTGTTTTTTTAACATATTGTACGTCACCTTACAATTTCTTATATTTGAATTTAAACATATATGTTAAGTAATGTGTGTCTCATACTATCAATGTGTTTTTTTTTTAACATATTGTACATCCTTAAACTTCTTATGTGTCCTGATAGGGCTTAAAATCCGCTTGACCATTAATTTCTAGATAGTGATGTTTTGCCTCAGTAAGGGGATTTATTTTAGTATCCTTTTGGTTCAATCTCCTCATTTCACAGATATAGAAACTGAAGCTCAAAAAAGTTACAAACTGGGGACATTTAGCCTGAGAAATGAAGATTTCAGTGTTTTATGAGAGCTGCCTTCAAGGTTTATCATGTATAAGATTGTTTAGACATGTTACACATAGCACAGAGGCCACAATTAGTTGCAGGAGCACATTTACAATGGATGTCATGAAAAAACTTTCTAGCATTTAGAGTTGTCCAACTGTCTGAGGAGGGAATTTCCTTTCATGGGAGGTACTTAAGCAAAGGCTGGATGATTACTAGACAAGCACGTTTTAGAATGGGGGAACTTAATTCAGAGTCTGTGAAATTGCTTATAAAATATTTTGACAACTATATTTTAATATAATTGGTTTCTTTTGTAATCTTACATATTTTAATTTTTGCATTTAAAAACATCTTTTTGAGGAGGGATTCATAAGCTTCACCTCTGTGGAAAAAGAAAACCCAACAACTCGTATTAAAAGAATTCTCTGTTTAAGTATGTGTTGACCTAGATGGCTGTTAAAGTTCCTTCAATTTTGAGATTTTATGATTCAGAGTGTAAGGTTTAGTAGGGATGGTGAGCTGGAAGTACATTTTAGGGCCATTAAGAGAAATGGGAAAACCAAAAGGAAGTACAAATTTGGAGAAAGAAATTAGTTAAATTGTGTGCATATGAGCTCAAAATATATGGTCCAGACTTAGAATTTGAGTTTAAAGGGATAACAAAGCTATCTAGGCTAATCCATTCCTCATTAAGAATTGTTTCCTATACACCAATCAGTCCCCTACATTTATTAAGGACCTACTATATTTTAGGCACTGTACTAAGTGCTGGGGATACACAACAAAAGTGAGTCTCTGCTGTCAAGAAACTATATTTCAACAGAGCATACTATATGTACATGTATAAGCATACACACAGATACAGGCTGTATATGTACATGTATGTATATATGTATATAAATGCATATGTGTGTATAAATGCAAGGGGCATTTCAGAAACAAAGCACTAAAAGTGAGAGTTGATGGTCAGGGGGAACAGATCAGGAAAGGCTTCTTGTAGAAGATGGTTCTTGAGTTGCATCTTGAAAGAAACCAGGAATTCTAAGAGGCAAAATTGATGAGAGAGTGCATTCTAGGTGTGAGAGTTGAAAAATGCAAAATCATAGAGGCAGGAGATGGAGTGAGTATGAGGAACAATAAAGAGTATGGCTAGAGGATCGATTGTAGAGGGGAATGATAAGTAAGAAGCTTGGAAAGATAGGACTGTGCCAGGTTTTGGAAAACTTAAAATGCCAAACCAAAGTAGTTTATAATTGATCCTAGAGGCAGTTGGGAGCCAGTGCATTTATTGAGTGGGAGTAACATGATCAGACATATATTCTAGGAAAGTCACCTGGGCTGCTGGGTAGAAGATGGATTGAAGGCAGGCAAGGAGAGACTTTAGGGAAGGAAACTAATTAGGAGGTTATTGCAAAAGTTCAAGCAAGAGGAGATGAGGTTATATAAACAGATTGAAGGAGGTATAAGAAATATGTTGTAAAACAATGTGTGTTATCAAATAATGGTATACATGGGGTAAGTAAGAGTGACGAGTTGAGGATGAGATAGAGGTTGTGAATCTAGCTGAATGGAAGGATGCTGGTGCCTCCAATAGCATTAAGGAAGTTAAATCAACAAATAGACATAATCGGCAAGGAGTTATTCAGAATTTCTTTGAAAGGCTTTAGTAAGGAGGAATCAGTTGCCTCCTGTCACAGCCTACTCCATAATAGCAATATCTTTTAAAAAAAAAGTTTTGTCCTTATACTGAGGTCAAATCTCCCTCTTCATAGATACCTGTTGAATATGTAAGAGAAATGCCTAAGAAACTGGATATTTAAGTCTTGTGCTCAGGGGATATATTATGGCTAAAGATAAATATAGATTTTGGAAGCCATCTACATATAGATGGCAGTTGAAACTTATGGAAATGAAACTTCTAGGGGAGAGTATACTTGTGGAGTTAAGGACAGGATGATTTATAGTTTCTATGGTGACATCACAGGACAGGATAGCAAAACCTCACAAATAATAGAGTATTTAGTTTTGACTCACTTTTAAAACTGATTTTTATGATAACTGGCTAAATAAAATGTTAGTAACACCTGTGTTAAAATAGTTACAAGTATAATTTTATATTGATGTCCAAAATGGTTAGACAAATTCTCAGCTTCACATTAGTGAATTAATGTATAATTTCCTGAAATCCTATCAAAATTTTTGCTCATTTTCAACTTTATCATTTTGTTGGGTATTATCTCAATGAGTTTTTAATTTACATTTCTTTTATAAGAAATATTGAACACTTTTACATAGTTTTAAATTAAGTAAAACCTATGTGTTTATTATATCATTGGATGAATTATTAATCAAAGAATGGCTTTATGTCTTAAAATGTGCTATTTAATGTTTTTCATATGTTATACTTTTATCAGAGATGGCTGAGTAAAATATTGGGCCTTTATTAAACAATTACTTTGTGTCAAGCATTGTGATAAGTAGGGGCAATACAAAGAATGGAAAAAAATGATTTCTCAATTCAAGGAGCTTACATTCCAATGAGGGAGATAATATGGAAACAGCAAGGTATATGCAAGATACATACAGAGTAGGAGGAATCCAAATAGAGAGACACTGGCACCTGGGTATGGGAGATGGGGTGTGGAGAGAGACTAAGAAAGGCCTTTCATGGAAAAAGGGATTTGGAATGGATCTTGAAAAAAATCCAAGAAAACTAGAAGGAACCGGTAAGAAGGGAAAGCATTCCAAGCATGGAGAACAGTAAATACAACGATTTTTGTTTTGGAGAGAAGCTTTGAATCATTTAAAGTTTTCTTATATATTAAAACACCAGTGACCTGGGCCCAGAATTGAATGGGGGAAAGAGCTCAAGATGTATTGCTTGGCTATTGTATTCAGTAAATAGATAACCTGATGGAATTGTTTAAGAGGTGGTGTGGAACCTTTCCCTAGTATTTCCAAATGTTACATCTTAAAGTGTATTTGTTGCTTGCTGTTTCTTGTGCTCAAAGCTTTCTGGGGATCTAGAAGCCATGCTGATTTCATTATTTTATTTCTATTTGAACAAGGATGGGCCATTTTAAAATCTAAAATATATTCTAATCATCACATCAAAATTTGCTTTTCCAAGAGCAAACAAATTTCCCTTCAGAACCTTTTTGCACATCTTTTATGCCAGAAACATAAAATTATTCAAAATGCATCATTTCTCAGTTAAATGTCAGGAGAGGCACTTAAGAAATGTTTGTTGACTGAGTGAATTACACCTGATGTGAAAAAGGATAGTTCTTTTGCAAAACCTAGCTAAAAGTACATATTCATTTCTTGAAAATAAGGATTGTCTCTTTTGGTCACCACAATTGTTGCAGATTTGTGAATAACTTCTGAAAATCTATCAGATAAATAAAAATTGTTACTGCTCCATTTCCTTCATCAAAGAATCCTCAGAATAAAATTAATGAAAAGTGATACTATTGTGAAAAGAAGCCCATATTAAATTGACATCTTTTATTTAATTAATGTACTCTCCTCCCTATTCACTTACCCTGCATGTCTGCCCAGCCTGGATCCCACCTAGCATGAAGTGGGACACATTGTCCCTTCTTCCTTTTACAATCTTCAAATACTATACTCTCCTCTGCGTGTTCTACAATGAAGCTATACCATGCTATTTGCTGTCCCTTGCATAGAACACTTCATCTCCCAACTCCCTGCCCCATACTGTTGTTTACACTACAATTGCAGCTTTCCTCTCCCGATTCATGGACTTTGTTTCCTAAAGAGAACAGAATCTAGCCAGGATGGGAAAAGTGTCTTATTATCTCTCCTGATCAGTACATCTCTAGGGGTAAGGAACCTGAGGCCTCAAGGCCACATGTGGCCTTCTAGGTCCTTGGGTATGGCCTATTGACAGAGTCCAGGTTTTACAGAACAAATCCTTTTATTAAGGGGATTTGTTCTGTGAAGTTTAGATTCAGTCAAAGGGCCACACTTGAGGACCTAGAGGATCACATGTGGCCTTGAGGCCACAGGTTCACCACCCCTGAATTCTAGTCCCATAGTTATTGCCATCTGACTTGCCAATGCCACCTAAGAATCTCTGAACTTTGCAATTTTCCTAGAGAAACAACCTTAGGATCTATATCTTGACATCTTCCATTCTGGATATGTTGCCTCACCTATTTAGAATGTGAGTTCAGGAAGAGGAGGGACTGTCTTTTTACATTTGGATCCCCAGTGCTTGGCATATAGGGAATAGGGTGGGACCTGTGATTTCACTGATGTAGGGAACTCCCAATGAGGGAACTCTCCCTAACAGATTAACTTATTTTCTGCAACTCTCTCTGTGTATGTGTGTGTGTGTGTGTGTGTGTGTGTGTGTGTGTGTGTGTAGTTTGTCCTTTGTTCTCGAAGAGGACCATGACATTAGGGAGATGATGCCATGAATTGCAATTGACTTGGATTTGAATGAGGAAGGGATGTGCAAAGTCACTAGCCTCGCT